CCGCCGCTGCCACCACCACCACCACCACCACCACCACCTCCAGTATGCCCTAAAACTTTCCCACAAAGGTTGGCCTTATCCCCCAAGTATGACTTTTCCCAGTTTCCAGATCCTTCCTTTCCTGGGCACCGACCATACCTGTCCCTGTGTCCTAGCCCAAGCTTTGTTCCCCGGTACCTCTGCAGCTGTGGCTTCACTGTTGATCTGGTGCTCTGATCCCCCCAGGGATCCTGTCTCACCCCAGTGCAGGTGGAGCTGGGCAGCTACATATTTTCGGGGAAATCCCTCCAGATACATGGTAGGGGGTAGAGAGAGTTGCACTGTGAGGAAAAGAGAGAAGGTCAGGGTTGGTGGAGGAATGCGGACACATTCCCATTGCCACTGCTCCTTGGGAGACCTGGCCAGCCTTTTCTGCCTCCGTCCCCCAGTAGCACCTAGTTCTGCTTTTCTAGCATATGTCCCCCTTTTTCAATGAGGATCCAATTCATGCTATGATACCAATCCATCCTTAGAGCTTGAATGTAGACATTCACTCCCCACCCTTGATGAGGCTGTAGGAGTCTCATCACCATTGTCACATCTCCAAATTTATAGATGAAGCCTTCTAAGAATTTGGAAGTTAGAATGCATCTTTCTCCTGACTCCTAAGATTGTAACTGGAGTTTACACCTCCTTGGAGCCTGGGTTTTTACCTGTGTGGCCATTATTGTGCAGGTCCAAGGGCTCAGTGCCAGGCTGGTCATATCCATGGGGCTGCAGAGTGGGCAGCTCAGGGTCAAAAGTCACACTGTCTGTCTGGATATTGATGGGGGACTGGGCATTGCTTCCACACTCAGGGTAAGAGGCTGGCCAATGGTCTTGACCATGTGGGCCTGGTGGGGATTACCAGAGACATTTGTCCTGCTCTCCAAGCCCCAGCCACCCTACTGGAACCCTCCCCTACCAACCCAGGCAACCTAGCCAGTTGTGCAAGGCTAGGTGAGGCAGGAGTCCCTGCTAGACTTGAGGCTGCCCCACGCTTCCCCTGCCCCCAGGCTGTGATGACTCCCCAGCTCTCCTGATAGGTGGAGAGCGGCGGCTTTTACTTACCAGCAGTTTGGGGACCAGAAAGCTGAATGGGAGGAAAAGGGGGTGGATGGAAAGCCTGCGTGCCTGGAGAGGTGGGGCTAGAGCAGAAACAGGATGGCCCGGGAAATAAAATGATCCTCGAAAGAGCAAGTCTCCGTGGGGGCCCCTAATAAGTGGGGATACCATTCTTTCGGTTGACTTCCCACAATTCATTTCTTGCTCTCATACTGGACCTTGCATTTGACTCTGGAATTCAGTCGTTAGTCAGAAGTTCAAAGGGATGAAATCCACCTCCACCAGGGTCACAAACTATGCTGCCAGCCTCTTCCTCACCCCTGACCTCAGGCTCTGTCCCAATTTCAGATGCAGGTAGGATCAATGAGGTCGGAAAGAGAGCCAGGAAGTAAACTGGCAGCTAGGCTCAGTGTTCCTTTCCCTACCCGGTTTCCCAGCCTTTCTGAATCAGGAGGTACGGGATCCGGCAGTTAGAATCGGGTCTGGGAGTCCGACCCGGAAAACAAGGGCCGGGGGTGGGGGTGGGGGCTCGGGAGGGAGGAGCTGGGCTGAGAAACTAAAGGGAACGAACTCCCCACAACACTCGACATAAGTCTTCCTGGCAGGTGAAGAGGTCCCAGTGTGAAAGGGATGGTGGTGGGCTTTGGGCTCTGCTCTCACCCTCATATGTCCAGTGCTGACCTGCAAGGCAGAGAAAGCGGGGCTGCAGACCGCTCAGCCGCGGC